GAAAGAAAAATATTTTGAAAGAAATTTCTTATTTTGAATTAAAGGGTCATTCCAATAACCAAGAGTTAATAGTCAAATTTTTAAAATTTCATTAATATCCCATTATAAAAGTGGACACCAACACCTTCACATTCTCAGAGATGTGTTTAGTTTTTCCAGTTCCATTATGTGTAGTTGGCTTCACAAAGAACTCTTTTGTGATGATCTGGGAATTATACCGGGTTGATGGTCTTGGAAGTATCTCTTATGACCTGAAGAATAACTTCAAGTTCTCTTTTTCCAAGATGGTATTTGAAGTTCTGCTGAAGGAGATGGAATCTTCTACTCAACCTCCTTCCCCCACTTAGCTACATGACACTCTAAAATAATGGAGCACATTTATCCCCAAATATTTGGAAATCGAATAACACACTGTTTAGTAACTCATATGTCAAAGAATAAGTCAAAAACAAAATCACAAAATACTTGGATTGAATGACAATGAAAGCACAAGGTATTGGAATTTATGGAATGCAGCTACGACAGTGCTCAGAGAGAAATGTACAGCATGAAAGGACCATATTAGAAAAGAAGTAAAGACAAAATCAGTGACATCAGATTCCATCTGAAAAACTAGAAAAAGAGTACACAAGGAAGTGGAAGTAAGCAGAATGATAGAAATGATAAAGAGGAGAGCAGGTCAATGAAACAGAAAAAATAAATAAACACGGAAATCAATGAAACCAAAAGCTGATTCTTTGAGAAGATCAATAAAACTGATAAACCTCAAGTCAGACTGATTTGGGGAAAAAGAAGAAACAGAGAAACAAAGAAACAAAGAGAGAAGACACCAGTTACCAATATTTATTGGTATAAGGTACCAATAATTATACCATAATTAGAGACAGAATATCATTACAGATCCTACTGACATAAAAAAGATAGAAGGAAATGTTATAACAGATAACACAAATAGCCCTATATCTATCAAAGAAATAGAATTTTTAGTTAAAAACTTTTCCACGGGGATTTTCGTCAGCGAAAGTCCCACTCGGGGTCCAGACCAAGATGGTGTCATAGGAGGTTCCTGAACTTCCCTTCTCCCACAGATTCACCAAGTATACAGCTATACAGAAAGCAATTCCCTCTGAGAGAAATTGAAAACCTAGCTTAGTGACTCCTACACATCAGGCAAATGAGAAAATACTGGAAATGGGTAGGAAAGTATGAGACACACTCTTGTCATAAATCCTACATCTAGGCACAGTGTTACACAATCAAGCAGAAACTCTCAACTCCCAGCTTCTTCCTGAGGAGTGAAGGGTTTGGACCATGCATCTAGTACACTTGAAAGCCCAACTTTTAAGGCTACCACCTGAGGATTTGGCCTCCAAATTACCTAGTTCTGAAAGCCAACAAGCTTTGCATTCAAGAGTCCCAGAGGACTATAGCCAATAATAAAGCAGTTAATCATATGAACATCTCAATAGATGCAGAAAAAGCATTTGACAAAATAAACATCCTTTCATGATAAAAACTCTCAGCAAATTGGGTATAGAAGGAACGTACCTCATCATAATAAAGGCCATATATGACAACCCTACAGCTAACATCATGCTCAAAGGTGAAAAGCTGAAAGCTTTTCCCTAAGATCAGAACAAGACAGCAATGCCCACTCTCGCTACTTTTGTTCAACATTGTACTAGAAGTCCTGGCCAGGGTAGGTAGGCAAGAAAAAGCATCTAAGTTGGAATGGAAGAAGTAAAACTGGCTCTTGCAAATGACATGATATTTTACATAGAAAACTCTAAAGTCTCCAACAAAACACTGTTGGAATTAATAAACAAATTCAGTACAGTTTCAGGATACAAAATGAACATACAAAAATCAGTTGAGTTTCTATACACTAATAATGAACTATTAGAAATCCCATTTACAATACCATCAAAGACAATGAAGTACTTAGGAATAAATTAACCAAGGAGGTGAAAGATCTATACAATGAAAACTAAGACATTGATTAAAGAAAGTCAAAGAAGACACAAATAAATGAAAAGATATTCCATGTTCACGAATTGGAAAAATTAACATTGTTAAAATATCCATACTACCCAAAGCCGTCTATAGATTCAATGCAATCTCTATCAAAATTCCAATGGTATTTTTCACATAAATAGAAAAAACAATCCTAAAATTCACGTAGAACCACAAAAGACCCCAAATAGCAAAGCAATCTTGAGAAAGAATAAAGATGGAGACATCAAACTTCCTGATTTTAAACTATATTACAAAGCTATAATAATCAAAAGAGTAGGTTATTGGCATTTAAACAGACACATAGGTCAATAGCATACAGAGCCCAAATATAAACCCGCGCACATATGGTCAATTAATTTTCAACAAAGGTACCAAGAATATACGATGGGGAAAAGATAATCTAGTCAATAAATGGTCTTGAGAAACTTGGATAACCACATGCAAAAGAAAGAAATTGGACCCTTATCTTACACCATACAGTACAAAAATCAACTCAAAATAGGTTAAAGACTTAAATGTTAAGACCTGAAATAATAAAACTCCTAGAAGAAAACACAGGCAGTAAGCTCCTTGACATTGATCTTGCTAATGATTTCTTTTGATGTGACATCAAAAGCAAAGAAAACAGCAACAAAAAATAAAGAAGTGGGACTACATCAAACTAAAAAGCCTCTGCACAGCAAAAGAAACCATCAACAAAATGAAAAGGCAAACTATGGAATGGGAGAAAATATTTGCAAAGCACATGTCTGTTAATGAGTTAATATCCAAAATGTACAAGGAACTCATATAACTCAATAGCAAAAAATATTCAATAACCCAATTAAAATGTGTAAGGGACTGGAATAGACATTTTTCCAAAGAAGACATACGAATGGCCAACAGATACATGAAAAGGTGCTCAACATCACAATTGTCAGGGAAATGCAAATCAAAACCACAATGAAATATTACTTCACCCATGTTATGATATTTATTATCAAAAAGACAAGCAATAACAAATGCTAGAGAGGATGTGGAGAAAAGGGAACCTTTTTACATTGTTGCTGGGAATGTAAACTGGTACAGCCATTATGAAAATATTACAGAGATTCCTCAAGAAATTAACAATAGAACTACCATGTGATCCAGCAATCCTTCTTCTGGGTGTATATACAAAGGAAATGAAATTATTATCTCAAAGAGATATCTGTACTCCCATGATAATTACAGCTTTATTCAGAATAGCCAAGGTATGGAAACAACCTAAGTGTCCATCAATAGATGAATGGATGTGGTATATACATACACAGTGGGATGTTATTCAGCCATGAGAAAGAAGGAAATCCTGCCATTTGTGACAACATGGATGGACTTTGAGTGTATTATGCCAGGTGAAATGTCAGACAAAGATAAATATTGTATGATATTGTTTACATGTGAATCTACAAACTCATAGAAACAGAGAGCAGAATGGTAGTTGCCAGGGGCTAGGAGGTGGAGGAAATGGGAGATGTTGGTTAAAGGGTACAACTTCCAGTTATAAGATGAACAAATTCTGGGGATCTAATGTACAGAATGCTGAGTATAGTTCATAATACTGTATTACATACTTGAAAGTTCCTACGAGAGTAGATCTGAAATTGTCTCACCAAAGACGAAAATTGTATTTATGTGAGGTTATGGATGTGTTAACTAACCTTATTGTGGTAATCATTTTGCAATACTGTATGTATCAAATCATCACATTGTACACCTTAAACTTACACAATGCTGTATGTCAATTATATCTCAGTAAAGGAGAAAAAAGCAAATACAAAAAGTTTTTTGGAAACAAGAAGCCTCAATAGAAAATCTAAAATAGAAAAAAAAAAAACCTTTTCAAATTTAGAAAAAGTAGTTTAACTGGATTTTAAGTAGCTCAGAAAACATAAAATCAAAAGGACTTGGAAATATCAAAAAAGCAACCCTCAATCGAGAAGTCCAGAATAATGTTTCTCAACATCAAATCTGGCACATATAAAAAAAAGAATGTGCTTACAAAAATTTTTATAAAATTCTGAAAAACTCACTTAAAAAATATTACATGCTCTTGGTTACAGAGGTAATGAAGAATATAAGAAAAATCTAATGATTATAGGGCATCAAAGTTTAACAAGGCTTAGAATCATTAATCTAGAATTTTCACTAAACAGAGAAATACACTAACCAAATTAAAAAATTTTTAAGAGAATCATCTCACCATTTCAGCACATTGCAACTGAATTGTAGCTAGACAAAATATTTTCCCAAAAGTTACCATAATCATAGAAATCGAGATGTCCTTTAATAACAGAAATTTTAGAATAATCTATAATTACTATTTAAAAATGTTAATAGCTTACAATATAGTAATTCAACTTTATTCTAAGTTTCTCTTCATCACAAGTTCAGAGTGCTGCTTCCATAGGACTCATCACATTCTAAGTTGAAATGAAATAAAAACTATATAGGAATATGCCCTCAAGGCCATCTAGGTATATTTTTCTTCATGTTTCCACACATTATTTAATACATCATCCATGGTTATCTTCACTGAAATGAAGATTTTTACAAAGGAAATAAACTTCCTATTCCGACGTTGAATTGTAAAATATGCAAGAAGATAAGAATGAAAACAAGGAAGAAATGCTTGTCTCAGAAGGAATCAAATGGAAAGAGAATAAGAGATACGATGAACTATAGTGAGAAAGAAATCACTACAAACCTTTAGATGTATGGCTAAAACCCAAAGAATTTAAAGTAGATGAAAGAACTGTAAAAAATAAAATGCCTTTTCCACTACAAGCTACATAGAGAGAAAAGAAAATATGGCTGTAGAGTATACTTTACCCTTGTCAACAAGGTTGAGTGTAGAAAAGATATTTTAAGTAATTATTTCAATTGTAAACTTACTTCATTTCAAAACAGGCATTTTATACACTCTAGATTTGAATGAAAATAACACAAGTAATTTTAAACCACCAGTTTTTATTGTTCATTTTCCAACTTGCAGTCCACATCTTGGGGTTTCCTTTCATTTGCCTGTTCACAAAGCTATTTCCAAACGCCTACCCTTTTCTAAAGTACGTACTTTCAGACCCCTCAGCTTCTGATTGTAGCTTAGTTAAGACCTGACTACAGCTGAGGAGGAGGCCCCTATTTTCTTTGTATACGGATGACACCGTCTATTTCAATAGTAGAAACCTGTTCGTTCTTGATATTAGATGAATCTTTGGGAACAGGATCCAGTTCTAATGGCTCTTCATATATTGGCTCATCTTTCAAAACCATGGATTCTAATGTTACTGGGCCATCTGCTATCTGGGGAGACTGATGTTCAGTAGACACGTTCTCTACCAGAGGCTCAGCTGCAGGGGTTTGTTGAGAACGAGGAGGCTGAACTTCAGCAGGGGTGTCTTTCATAAAGATTTGTGTAATGAAATTGGGCTCTTTAGCTGGTGGAGGCTGTTTGTCAACAGGGACCATTTCTGAAGTAGTTTCTTCAGTTGGTGGGGGCTGAAGCGGAACATGATGCTCTTCTGCAGGGGCCTCCTCGGCTGGTGGAGACTGAAGTTCAGCTGGGGCCTCTTCTGCAGCGGCCTCCTCCACTGGTGGAGAGTGAACTTCAGCTGGAGCCTCTTCTATATGAGCCTCCTCGGTTGGTAGAGACTGAACTTCAGCCAGTGCCTCTAATGCAGGCGCCTCCTCAGCTGGTAGAGTCTGAAGTTCAGCTGGTCCCTCTTCTGCAGGGGCCTCCTCAGCTGGTAGAGACTGAGGTTCAGCTGGGACCTCTTCTGCAGCAGCCTCCTCAGCTGGTAGAAGCTGAACTTCAGCCGGGGCCTCTTCTACAGCGGCCTCCTTAGCAAGTGGAGGCTGAACTTCAGCCAGGGCCTCTTCTGCAGTGGCCTCCTTAGCAAGTGGAGGCTGAACTTCAGCCGGGGCCTCTTCTGCAGCAGCCTCCTCAGCAGGTGGAGTCTGCACTTCAGCCAGGGCCTCTTCTGCAGCGGCCTCCCCAGCAGGTGGAGGCTGAACTTCAGCTGGTCCCTCTTCTGCAGCAGCCTCCTCAGCAGGTGGAGGCTGAACTTCAGCCGGGGCCTCTTCTGCAGCAGCCTCCCCAGCAGGTGGAGGCTGAACTTCAGCTGGGGCCTCTTCTGCAGCAGCCTCCTCAGCAGGTGGAGTCTGAACTTCAGCCGGGGCCTCTTCTGCAGCGGCCTCCTCAGCAGGTGGAGGCTGAACTTCAGCCGGGGCCTCTTCTGCAGTGGCCTCCTCAGCAGGTGGAGTCTGAACTTCAGCTGGGGCCTCTTCTGTAGCAGCCTCCTCCACTGGTGGAGAGTGAACTTCAGCTGGAGCCTCTTCTACAGGAGCCTCCTCAGCTGGTGGAGACTGAACTTCAGCCAGTGCCTCTAATGCAGGGACCTCCTCAGTAGCTGGAGGCTGAACTTTGGCAGGGACCTCTTCTGCAGTGGTCTTCTCAGCTAGGGGAGGCTGAAGTTCATCTGGGACCTCATCTATAGGGGCCTCCACAGCTAGTGGAAGCTTAAGTTCTGGGGCCTCCTGTGTAGGAGCCTCTTCAGCTGGTGGAGGCTGAACTTCAGCAGAAACCTCTTCTAAAATATCGTCTTCAGCAGGGGCTGGCTCTACTCTAGCAGGGACCTCTTCTGCAGGGGACTCTTCAACTGGTAGAGACAGAACTTCAGCAGGGGCCTCCTCAGCAGGAGGCTCCTCAGCTGGGGAAGGCTGTGTTTCAACAGGAGCCTCTTCAACTGCTGGAGGCTGAACTTCAGCAGAAGGCTCTTCTGAAAGAGCCTCTTCCACATGGGCATCCTCAGCTGGTGGAGGCTGAAGTTCAGCTGGGGTCTCTCCTGCAGTAGTCTCGTCTGCTGGTGGAGGTTGCAGTTCAGCAGAGATCTCTTCTGCAATGGGAGGCTGTACTTCAACTAGAACGTACTGCTCGTCTTCTAAAAGTACCGGAGTACTTTTTATGTTTTGTTGACTAAACGAAGATCTGCTGATACTGTTCTGCCTAATTTCTTCACTGCTACATGTTGCGGGTTGAAATTCAGGATGTTCACTAACAAAAATCTTCCCTGAGGATTTATACATCTGTGCACCTTCCTTCGAATTTGAAGAACTACCTGTCTTGCCAATAAACACTATTTCTGAATCACTAAAGTACGTCTGCTGTTCCTTGTCCACTTTTTCATTTTGAGGAATGTTTATCATTGTCCAGTCTCCAGTACAACTGGTCTGCTGAGATCTGTCTATTTTGAGTTGAATTGAGTGTCTGCTTAGTGGAATTTCTACTTCCTGAACACTCTCTGGAAATTCAGGGGCTGCCTCTCCAACAGCAGCTGGCTTTTCTTCAGGTACCACTGTCTCACCAACTGACTTGATTTCTTCTTTTTTCTCTTCTGCAATAGTGTCTGTCTGCAGAGATTTATCAGTCATATCCTGTACACGCTTTCTCTTCATCCAAGTTTGCTGAAGTTGAGAAGATACTCTAAGAGACTCATAGTTGACTTTGCTTCCAGGAATATTACCAATACTAAGGGTAGCTTTGGGGCCAGATGATTGTGACATCGGCAAGGGTTTCTTTTTTTCTGTCACTTCAGTCTGCTGGGATTTGTCTACCATTGGTTGGCTGGGTCGTCTTCTCTTTCGAATTTCTTGCCTCCCTGCTGAGATAGGCTGATCAGGTTCATCACTTTCTTCCATTTCTAAGACTGGTGAATTTCAAATTTACTAAACTTCAAGTGCTTAGTCATCAAGAATTCACAAATGTACCAGATGGTTAAGCCTTTGCCTTCCTTCATTAAGTGTTTTTCTGTTGAGTTCCCTCAGAAAAAAGTAATTCATGTATTATTGCATTCTGTACCACACTCTTGTTGGATCCCACCTTATTCAGTAAGCATCTTTCTTATCTAATCTCCAGTATGACTAAATCTTACTTCTAGAAGTTTCCCTCAAGGATCTATGACATCACAGCCAATTGTCCCTACAAAGTTCCATAAGTGGTATTCCCAGCACTTTTTAACTTGTTAAATACTCATGGACAATGGCTGCAAGTGAGAAAATCTACTGTTTGAAACATTCAAGTTGAAAAAAGCATTTGTCTACCAGAGGAACATCAAGAAAACTCCAGTTACACTGCTCTTTAATAGTTGAAGTGAATGCTTTTGAACTCACAATTCTGTTCTTCTCATCCTACTATCAAAGACAGTTATAATGCAGAACTCAGAATGCCGCAGCCTATGTTCAATTGTTGGAGAAAACAACTGATACGTGTGGCAATGTTCTATCAATGTATGTTTATATTATTTGAAAGTTAATATTGTTTGAAAAATTTGAGTTCTGAGGTCCATATCCATGTAAGCTCCTTTCCTGTGTCCTTAGCATTCAGTAACCACAAGAACCTACTATCCAAATATATATACAAATAGGTAGCATGTTTGCCTTCTCAAACATATTGAGATATTTTTATTTTCAACTATTTCAGAAAATAGTTCCATCCAAAGTTTGCCAAATAAAAGAATGTTGAGTCTAAAGATGTGTCAAGTGAAATAAAATGCATCTTTTGACAGTCACTATATACTCTGCTGAATAACCACATGGGACCGAATTCCCCAATGAAGATAAAAACTTTAAATTGAAGCTTTGAAAAAGAGGAACCCCAGTAAAGCAAACTGTAAATGGCATCCTATTAGATTTGGAATACAAATAAAACTTTGACTTATACATTACACAAAAATTTCATTAGAAAGATTGAGATTGGTCAAAAGATGTTCAAAAACATATTCCTTTAGTCTAAAGAAAGTTAAAGAGGAGAAAATAGACTTTAAAAATATAGTGACAAGAGACATAGTAGTAAACACATCTAAACAATCATTATGACTTCATTAACCTGGAAATATTTTTAAATTTCTCTATGCCGTATTGCCCCTAGGAGATATAAAAATGCCATCGACTAATTCCCCTTGTTTGACATGCATTAGTCATAATTGTAGCTAGGTCGTCTTGGCAAAATAAATGAGCGCTTTCCACATTCTTTGACCCAGCCCCTGCAACAGCCTCTGTCTCTTGGTAGAGATCAGTGAATATTTGTCTAGTGTAGTTGGAAGATTGTGATTAGAAACCATGCTGCTTGGCCTACATCTCAACTTGCTCTGCTCTCATTTGTGTCTATTCTGCTACACTGTGTTATATCTTTCTAAGATTTAATAAAGTGAATTAAAACAATAGTTATTTTACAAAAGAATTGACATAGGTTTTAATCAGACCTGCTGTAGTTTGAAAACCAGGTTGTTTATCAACCTCTTTGTGGTCTGGTGCTCCTCTCAAGTGCATCTGTCAAACATTGCATGTGTATTTCATAATCAAGTCTCTGACATTTAATGTAGTATCTTTAAAGTCTGTTTTGGGTCAATTCATAACAAGAAATAAATGCGAAAACCAACATTGCACTAATTGGGTTCACGTAACATTGCATGTATTGGATTAATTTTGCTTCCTCAACTTAAATAAGATTTTTACCAAATTTTCCATAGACATAAACTGAATTTGCAATTTCATTAAATTCTCAATTTCCAATTCTTTGATATTTGTGTTTTCCCCTCCAAGAAATAACGAACTTGATCTTCCTTAATTATACACCAAACTTTCACAGTAAACTGCCTTTTGCCACTAGCTTATTCACAGAAGCAAATTAGCATTCCTAAATAATCAATAAATTAAAATTTTACTTGAAATTCCAAATAGAATTATGAGAGATTTCATAGAGCAGTTTCTTATCATATTTCTTAACATCCACAAATGCTCCTTTTGCCCTGCTGATCCACTAACCAACTAATCATTAATCTATCTTGTCAATTTAGAGGTTGGGGTTTCATCCTTTATTCTGGAAATCTCACATGATTCCGCTTTCTTCTCTTCACTTGGTATACATCTGTTATGGGTTGAATTGTGTATCTCAAAGAGATATGTTGAAGTCCTAATCCCCAGTATCTACGAATGCAACCTTATTTGGAAATAGGATCTTTACAAATGTAATCGGATTAAGACAGTGTCCTTATAAGAAGATGAAAATTTAGACACAAAGAAAACACAGAGGGAAGATGGCCGTGTGAAGATGGAGGCAGAGATTAGAGTGATGCTGCCACAAAGCAAAGAACAAACAAACACCTAGGGCTCCCAGAAGCTGGAAGCAGCATTGAAGGCTCCTCCCCTAGAAACTACAGAGGGATCATGGCCCTGCTAACACCTTGATTTGGGACATTGAGCCTCCAGAAGTGTGGGAGAATTTCTGTTGTTTTAACCCAGTTTGTAGTACTTTCTTATGGCAGCCCTAGGAAACTAACACAACATCCTTTCAGAGCCCCATATTTCTGACTTCTGCCTGACACGCTGTTCTTCTGACTCTTTCTCTATCTCTAGGGCTAGTTTCTTTATTTCGGACTCAGGTCTGGCATTTAGTTTCATACCATATTTGACACACTTCTGTAGTCATAAAACCAGAGGAATTTGCTGAAAGGCCTCTTCCTGATGATTTGCATTTAATTTTACCGAAAACAAATTTGCTGAGTAGCACTTAATTTCACGTATAATTGTAACAACTTTGAAGGCTATGATTTAGAGATGGTAGAGATGTTTCAAATCAATAATAAACAAACATATCTAAATAATAAACAAAATATCTAAAATGTGGCCTATATTGCTTTGGTCTTAGCTGAGTAGATCAAATAAGATGAAGTCTGAAAAATGTTCATTGGATATAACAACTATGAGGTCACCAGTAAGTTTAGCAAGAGCAATTTCAGTGGAAGGGTGGGAATAGAAGCCATAAAATTCTAAAACTTCTGTGAATTAAAAATAAACAAAATTAAAATGCAATGACAAATGAGGAAAAATAAGTACAAAATATAACTTAAAGAGCTATACTTAATATACTAAAGGATATTAGAATCCATTATAAAAATAACACAGTAGAAAAATTAACAAAGGGTAATTCAATACATAAATAAATATATATGACATCAAATTCACTTCTAAAATGAAAATTAACATAATGTCAATGTAAAATTAGCAAAGATTAATTTTTTTTTAATTTGTTTATTGCAGTAACATTGGTTTATAACATTGTAAAAATTTCAGGTGTACAACATTGTACTTCTATTTCTGCATAGATTACATCATGTTCACCACCAAAATGCTAATTACAACCCATCACCACACACATGTACCGAATTATCCCTTT